CTTGTCATTCAAAACTCTATCTTGATTTGAGCCAAAGAAGAGCAGATGGAGAAAAAGTCGTCATTTTATCAAGTGTCCAATTCTGTTTTCCTCCTCTTCCCCCATCTTTTGTTGCTATGGTAACCATGAGTAAGAAAATATTACAGTGCAATGCCTCTGGATACTTCTTGACTTTGATTAACTAGATTTTTCTTACATATCGTAAGCTTTACCCGAAACTAAAGTGCCAGAGTAAACTTCATATGAGATTATGCGAAAATCCAAACTCTTAAGGCGATTTTTACTGATATACGTCTTTCCATATATATATATATTTTACGTTTAGAAAATTTTCCAAATTATAAATTTATTAACATAAAGTTTATTTAATAAAGAGTTTACTTTTTATTAGATTTATATTAATTCCTAGTTTAAAAACTTTATAATATTAAAGAAAAACAATTGGTTAAATTAAATATAATTATTTTAAATCAATTTTAAGCGTGTATAGTTTAGTAGAGAATTTTTTTAGTAAATATTTGATGTTTATACAAGATCTAAGATTAGAAATAGACGCGGATCAACCCCTCGTCTCTGTATTATCTACATACATAAATCTTTGTGTTAGCATCATTAAATTACTGAAACGTGTATCGAACATGTTAAGTCAGTTTATCAGTTTACACCGACGTTATTCATGTTAAGTAAGATTTATTCGAAAAAAATTAATATATAACTCGAAATAAACTAATTATGCAACGATATATAAATAAATCAATAATAAAATATAAGTTTACATCCATTATTAATTTTTTTCCAAGTAAACAGAAAATTTTCGTTTATATAATAATAATAAATTAAATATTTCATGTATTTTTTATACAAATTATTCATTAAAACACAACATTACGTTTTATTTCGGTATAATTTAATTAAATTGTTCATTTTTAAATAAATAAATAATTGACATCCGTGCATAAAAGTATTAAATCTTTTACATTTAAAATGATAAATTGATAATTAAATTTCTAAATTTAAATGATAGAAACGAATTCTTTAATTCTAGCATTTATTATTAATATTTTAATCGATATCTAGAAGTGTGTTGTGTCTTTATAATATTCCATCTGCATGCGATGTTAAAATATATATTAATAATTGTATTTTCTTTAAAGAAATATAATAAAATCTGATTATATTCTTCAATATTTAAAAAAAAAATTAATTAATTTTTTTCCTTTTGTTATTTCAATGTTTTAGTTTATTTTAACTGTAGACGTATCTAATTTATAATTAAAATTATTAATAAGTATCTGCTATGAAACGTGCAAAACCCATTTTTAACTTGAATTAAAATAAAAAAATGAAGATTTTATATTAAAATCAGCTTATTTAACTTAAATATCAATTTGATTAATTATTTATTGTTTATTACACATAAAAATCTGTCTAAAACGGAAAAAATTCAGTACTGATTCGGTTTACACAGGTTTAACTGTATAAAACTTGTAATTAAAACTAAATTAAAAAAAAAGTTTAAATAATTAAAATTTTTATTGTTATTTTTAGAATATTTTCTTCTTGATTATTGCAATATTTTGCAGGGTTTATTTCATGTTTAATAGCGCGTTAAAAACAAATAGAAAGGTCATTTTATCCCAAAACATCATAACGAAGTATTGATAATGCAATCATAGTAATGTTTGAAGCTTTTAGAAGAATCAACAATGTCTTCTTTACAGGTTCTCCTCTTGTTATTGGACTAGTTTTCTAGTTTGAGGATAAGAATATTCTTTTATATCTCAATATTTTGTTGCATAATCTGACGATTATAAAATATAAAACAAGCTGGCTATCCAAATATATTAAAACTAAACGAAACATCTTTACCAAATTTCCTCGTCATTTCCTTTTAATCGCATTAAACCCCCCCTGCCAATCGGACTTTATTTTCATTGCGACAATAATCTTGTCAATTTGACAATACTTTATTGACTTACTACCACACATAAAACTACAGAAAACACACTTTTGCCATTGGGGTATTAAAGTATTAAGATAAGATAAGAGTGGGTAGTAAAATAAAGACACCACAAACTATAAAATCCCGTATGTCACATTAAAACTGACCGCAGAGACGAGGATCTAATGACAAGAACAGAGACAGACAGGGGAAGGAAAAAAAAAAAGATTTAAAAGTATTACTGATTGATAGCAGCATGCTACTACAGCAACAACGCATGCTCATTGGGATGCACATGACATTAAACCCACGTCTTAATGTATAGAATATCAGTTAAAGTAGTTTGACGAAGTAGAGGATTGCTTTTATAGACAATGGACCCTCTACACGCTACTGGGCTCCGTTGGGATTTGTGGCCCTTAATCCCACAATTCCGCAAGAGGTAGCATAGATTGAACTCCACTTTCGTTATATCCCTAAGCTTAACTTCTTCCTCTACAATTCAACAGATATTAGACACTTTTACAATACCCCAAACTTCCAGGCAAAATATGGTAAAAATGAAAGAGGATTTAGAAATTTACAGCCCCACAATCTACTTCACTCCTACTTTTTTTTTCCTTTTTTAGTGTGTAGTTTAAAATTTGACAGTATTAAAGGAACCGGACTGTAATCTCTTGGATGCTTTGCTTTCTCGATAGTTTTGAATATCTTGCTCTTTACTTCTATAAATATGTGCATTGAAAATGTCGAATAGATCCTTTTTTCCTTCCCAATTTGTTTGAATTTTAAAGTTGAGAAGTTTGTTTATGGCTCAGTGGATTAGAATTTATGTCCTTTTTTTGCCCTTTAAGTTTCAGAATTTAGTCCGAATTTCCGAATTAATTTTAATTAAATTTTGTTTTACTATTAAATTTTAAGGTATTCTTCAATTAATATAGCATAGNAACATAGTTAAGTTCGTTTATCCGGTCATAAAGCTTCTAGATACTTTCATCATCTCTAATCCAAGTTCTTGTTTAATCTGTTGATAAACTAGAAACTTAGATTATAGGTGATGAATATAGATAATAAAACATTTTATTTAATAAAGTAGATAAGTATAACATGAATTTATATCCTTATATAATAGTATCTCGATAATTACATTAATATATTTAAATAATTATATGACTAGACCACTGTTTCCCAAACTTTTCGTATTACCACCCCCTTTTAGGGCATATATATATATGTATGTATGTATGTATATATATTTGTTTGTTTCAAATGAATTTTTCCCTTGCCTTCCAGCCCCCCTTCAATCTTCTATCACCCTCAATGGGGTAGATCCCACTTTGGAAATCAATATACTAGATGAATTATGGTAGATAAGTATAATTAAAAAGTATATGATAATTAAAAATGAGATAAGTATAATTAATAAAGAAAATCAGTCAATTTAATTAGTTTAATAAATTCAAATAATTAAATAACCTTCTGAGTGAGTAGACAATTAAATCTACATAAATAATATGTAGATTTTAAGTCTAAACAAATATTAATTATATTACTAAATTTATTTTAAACGACTCTGCTTACTTCACACATTCTAACAATCAAAAATCATTAATACTGTACGTAAGAATCTCAAAAAAGTCATTTATTTAGAAGGTTTTATAGTCTTAGATGGCAAAATTCCTTTAAATTGATTCTAGTTCGTCCAATTCACTAATTTATCTCCGAAGAAATATCGTGTTTTAAAATAAAAAAGATACAAAAAAATAAAGAGTAACCCCATCAATTAAGAAGGTTTTTTTACAGAAAATATTAAAGTTGTCCATTCATCCGAACTTATTCTTATCTTTTTCTGCGAGAAAAATAAGTACAAACCTACAGAAGGGACTTAACATCAGTTTGAGTAAAGCATACAAAGAAATTCGTGTGCTGAAAGGCAGCAGATGAGCAAATTGAATCAATTAATTTGTTCCGACATCCTTTCCACATCCTAAGGGGATGGAAAAGTTTACTTTTTTTTATTTTTTCTCTTTCTTCCCTTTTTGCTACTTAAAAAGTGAAGTTGAAAAAACCGTTTTTGTAACAAAAGAAACTAATCAACATTATCTTGATATTATAAAAATGAAATTTTGCATTATCTGGTTACATTCTTCGTTCCTATTTTTCAGAGAATCGAAAAACGACAATAGATTACCATATGATAAATTTGTGAAATTACTCGAATGTCTACTTGAATTATCGGGATCTTCGTGCATTAAAGGTTTAGGCGATCATTTGCAAAATATTTAGAAAAAGTAAATATTTAGAAAAATTAAAAGTAAAGTCTTTACTTTTTCTAAATATTTTTATATATATTTTACATGATTCAATTTAGATTAATTTATTTTTTTATTTTACATGATTCATTCTTAATTATAGATTAGAGAATTTTAATAAAACACAATTATTTGATTTAAAAATAAGCTCAGATCTTAAGATTGATTTTTAAAAATTAATCTTAGGATAAATATTCGAGCTTAGTTTTCAAATTTAGTTTCTAAGAAGTAAAGAAACAAAGTATTATTCGAATTATAGAAATTTAAGACATTTATTTAAATTAATTTTATCTCTTGAAATTGCATCTTACACTTTACCATTAACTCTTTTATTTAAAATATAATGTGGATATTTTTATCAATAATAAGCAAAATCTAATGTTTAAATTAAGGTGTAATTAACAATGCTATTAGGAGGGATGTAATTAACTAGTCTTATATTAAACAAGTCGTGTATTCTACTAGAATAGTTAATACTAACATTCAACACATATCTAAAGATGCAGATTAAGTTAAACACAGATTTTCATCTAGATCATTACTTGTTTAAATATTATGTTTACTATAATTTAAATCTTGTTTATTATTCTTAATTAGTTTGAATCATTAAAGAGGCTCATTCTTGCAGAAAAAAATCATAAGCTACGTCACATAATCGTTGATAAATTCCACTCCTATTCCAACCTTACATTTAAATTTAGTATAGAAAAGTTACTTTAAATAATATATATATATTTTTTATTTAGGTAGCATGGCTGCGGGTGGAGAGCAAAACAGTTTTGACCATCCATCGACACGTAATTACGAGGAACTACCGCATAAACCTCACACAGAGAGACCACAAACTTTGGATACTGCACATAAATAACGTTCGTGAGTCCGATAGAGGTGGTTACATGTGCCAGATCAACACGGTTCCCATGAAGAGTCAAGTTGGTTATCTGGATGTTGTCGGTAAGCTTCGATAAAATATGTCTCCATATAAACAATTTCGTGTAAAAAATTAGGAAAGTAATTAATTTATTATTTCTAAAGTTAACAACAATTTTTAGATTTATATATATATATATAACGGTTTAAAAATTAGTTTTCGTATCTCTAGAAGGGTTTTTAATAAAGAATAAAACATGATTTTGTTACTGTACTAGTAAAGGGATTCTTGAAACTGTAATTATATTGATAGACATTAACGTTGACTGTCAACATTAATTGTAATTAAAGGAAGAGTAACTAAACAATGTTAAGATTCCTTCCAGCAATATCCGAGAACTAATGAATTAACAATTATTTTTCTTTTTCGAGAAGAAAATTAGTTTAGTGTAAAAGTATCACTTTCCATTTTTTACCGTGATATTTTATAATATTTTTAGTCATTTTTATTAATTAGATAAACTTACACATTTTTGAAAAAAAATTTTTTTAAATAATTTTATTTGATTATTTTATTATAATTAATTTATAGGAGAATGTAGACAATGTCCTTGCATAAGAAACAAGTTTCGTGTGTATATTTTTTTATACTGATCCTCTGATCCGTTATTATTTTTTTTAATCCAATATAATTTTAGTCCGTAGGAAATAAATTCGAATATCATTATTTCTGGATGATTTGAAAGATATTTTAATTTTAATTCACTAAAAATTGGCTTAAATTTCGTTCATTCGAATGGGTCAAGTTTGTCTTTTCAAGCTCTCTAGTTGATAAGTATATACAGTTAAATTACTAAATAGCTATGTTTAAATGGCTAGATAACGGATTTAATATAGTTAAGTATGTTATTTGGTCGTTTTAATTCAGCTAACAACTAAGTTATAACATAGTTAAGTTCGTTTATCCGGTCATAAAGCTTCTAGATACTTTCATCATCTCTAATCCAAGTTCTTGTTTAATCTGTTGATAAACTAGAAACTTAGATTATAGGTGATGAATATAGATAATAAAACATTTTATTTAATAAAGTAGATAAGTATAACATGAATTTATATCCTTATATAATAGTATCTCGATAATTACATTAATATATTTAAATAATTATATGACTAGACCACTGTTTCCCAAACTTTTCGTATTACCACCCCCTTTTAGGGCATATATATATATGTATGTATGTATGTATATATATTTGTTTGTTTCAAATGAATTTTTCCCTTGCCTTCCAGCCCCCCTTCAATCTTCTATCACCCTCAATGGGGTAGATCCCACTTTGGAAATCAATATACTAGATGAATTATGGTAGATAAGTATAATTAAAAAGTATATGATAATTAAAAATGAGATAAGTATAATTAATAAAGAAAATCAGTCAATTTAATTAGTTTAATAAATTCAAATAATTAAATAACCTTCTGAGTGAGTAGACAATTAAATCTACATAAATAATATGTAGATTTTAAGTCTAAACAAATATTAATTATATTACTAAATTTATTTTAAACGACTCTGCTTACTTCACACATTCTAACAATCAAAAATCATTAATACTGTACGTAAGAATCTCAAAAAAGTCATTTATTTAGAAGGTTTTATAGTCTTAGATGGCAAAATTCCTTTAAATTGATTCTAGTTCGTCCAATTCACTAATTTATCTCCGAAGAAATATCGTGTTTTAAAATAAAAAAGATACAAAAAAATAAAGAGTAACCCCATCAATTAAGAAGGTTTTTTTACAGAAAATATTAAAGTTGTCCATTCATCCGAACTTATTCTTATCTTTTTCTGCGAGAAAAATAAGTACAAACCTACAGAAGGGACTTAACATCAGTTTGAGTAAAGCATACAAAGAAATTCGTGTGCTGAAAGGCAGCAGATGAGCAAATTGAATCAATTAATTTGTTCCGACATCCTTTCCACATCCTAAGGGGATGGAAAAGTTTACTTTTTTTTATTTTTTCTCTTTCTTCCCTTTTTGCTACTTAAAAAGTGAAGTTGAAAAAACCGTTTTTGTAACAAAAGAAACTAATCAACATTATCTTGATATTATAAAAATGAAATTTTGCATTATCTGGTTACATTCTTCGTTCCTATTTTTCAGAGAATCGAAAAACGACAATAGATTACCATATGATAAATTTGTGAAATTACTCGAATGTCTACTTGAATTATCGGGATCTTCGTGCATTAAAGGTTTAGGCGATCATTTGCAAAATATTTAGAAAAAGTAAATATTTAGAAAAATTAAAAGTAAAGTCTTTACTTTTTCTAAATATTTTTATATATATTTTACATGATTCAATTTAGATTAATTTATTTTTTTATTTTACATGATTCATTCTTAATTATAGATTAGAAATATCTTGTATCTTTTGTGGTATAAAATTTATAGAATGATATGTATCTTCTTCTATAGTGTTTTTATCTTTAAATTTAAAGTATTATCAGTACTAAGTTTTAATTGAGATTAATTTATTTTTTATAAAATAAGAAAATATTTTAATTTGTTGTGCTATTTTCTTTATTGTAATTAATAGGGTTTCTTGTAGCTTGCTTCTTGAAAGATTATTAATTAAGTAGATATAAAAGTAGAATGTTTGTTTTAAAATTAAATAAAGTTCTTGCTTATATGCACTAGAAAACATAAAGAAAACATTAGGAAAAAATAATGTTAGATCTGGTAGAAATCGAACATGCTTCTGTAACATGATGAATGTTTTGTCTATACGAGTTACACATACGCTGGTGAAACAGTTTGACCTCATGCTGGAAATAGTTCATTAAATCAAAAGATGATTTGTTTTGATATTAAACAATGTAGCATATGTAAATCTCAATGTACTAATTAGAAATTATCATAGAAAGAAATGAGGATCCAAAGAGTTTCTGTGAATAAATTATAGGTTTAGAGGGCTAAGGCAACGCAACACATGGACGATCTTCCAAGGAGGTGTCTTTGTATGAGAAACTGACTACTATTTAGATGTTAGACACGTGAAGAAAACTCGGAAAACTCTAGCCCATTGGAGAGGCGTGCACTAGAGATAAACCACCAATCTTTAATGGTTTATCCACTCCGCCATTGGTGGGCCTTTCTTTGAACGTTATGGTTTATATATTAAGATTTACAATTTCTGTTATTATTTCTTAACAAAGTCAATCAACTTAAAAATTCAATTTTTAACAATTGAAATTATATTGATGTTTAATAAAACATTATTTCGAATTTTGAAGTGTAATTCACGTATATAGTCCACATCAATGTTAATTTTTAAAACAAATTGCAAAATAAGTTATACGACAATTAAAAAACAATGTTATTTTAACTGCTATAAAATAAATACATTTTTTCTGTTTATTTTTCTTTTGTAATAATCATCTGATATAACAGGACCTTTGCCATAATTTCTGAAGATATAATCAATTTTTCTGGCGTATATTTTGAGTATTTATAAATAATTTCATTTTACAAGGAGAAAATTAAATGAAATTAAAAATTTATTAGGAAATTCTAAATCAACTAAAGAAATTAAAAAACTGATTTTAGATACGTAAAATGAATGCGAAATATTTTAAAATATTTTGTTTAATTTCAGGAAAAAGCGTTTTGATGCATGAATAATAATAAAATTTGGTTTTTTCAATAAATAAATTATAGTCCTAAAAGTTATATATCCTAAAAGAAAATATGTCAAGATTGATTTCAAAATTGTAATATAAATATATTCATTGACAAAAAAGTTACGCAAACAGATAGAATTGTCGACATACAACCATATCTCAGACACAGATGTGAATTATTACAGTTGTCATCCGACTGCACGGTAATGCCACCGAAGTGCCTTAAAATCGCTACTCTAGAATCCTATAAAAGATGCCCGCAGAGGCTCACTGTATTCATAATTTTTAGTGTACCTGTTGTTTAGAGGTCTTTGAACTTAGGCGTGCCTGCACGACTTAATCATGCCTGCATGGCTTAGTCAAAAACATCACACAAAGACCGCACCATTGAGCTGAAGAAGGCAAGATGGCCGTTTCTCCGAATTGCCCGCTATTTGGGCCGTTCTGGCCTGACTATGAGGAAGTGTTGGAGGCAGTGGATATGTTAGGGCAGACATACGTGGTGGGCAGGCTGTCGATGCCCCATATAAACCACTAGGAAAGATGATCGTGAGACAAGCACGAACAGCTGCAATGGCATTCATACAGAGACCACCATACAGTGATACAGAGACAGGCGGAAGCTTCGTTACAGAACCCTGTCTCTTCCCATATCATTAACAGGCGACTAGCAAAGGCGAATTTCCCTACATATTAGTACTCCAACATTAGGCTTCGATTATAATGGTGCCATAACAGAAGCATGGACTACTAAGAACGGGCTTTAGCAAGCGATATTGACGGCATAGCGTTACATTTAGGAAATTCTGCGCCCTCATGATTTGTCCTTTATGGTGGAAAGTCTACAAATTTCCATTTTTCAGTAATAAGTAACGTTCGGCCGCACCATCTAGGATTTCCACAAATGTGTCTGTTACGTTGTACACTTACTTGATCTGGTCGGTCTCCGGATTTATCACCCATTATGCATTTGTAATACCAGATGGGACGCCAACTTCGGCCATCTTAAAGTATAAGAGATCCGAAGTGGCAGTCATGAGTACAGTGGGTAAATCTATTGCAGGATAACATACGGTGCCTGTATATCGCCATACCTGATAGTATAGACACATGTATACAGGCAAGAGGAGGTTCTACAAGATACTAAAGACTTCATTAAATTGTACTGTTCATCCACAGAAAATTGTTTCTTTGTAATGATATTGTAATCACTTATTACCATGGTCATTAATGTTTGCACTAATAAAATTTTAACTGTAACTGCTTTTGTCAATGAGTGTAGAAAGATGCCCTTTTAATTATAGTGTAGGTGAAAGAATACATGATACTTCTTAGTCTATTTTATAAGTATTTTATTACTCTTAGTGCTCTCAGAGCGGAATGAAATTTATGGGTCCTTTA